TCTCTAAGAAGATAAAACAACCATTGAACTTCACAAGTTGTGCCCGCTAGAACACTATATTATGCTATAGAGGAAGATCTAGAAATAGTTGGTTGTTTCCTAGATTTCCAACTGATAAGAGAATTAAAAGATAAATGCCAAACCCTGCAATTGATTTTTGATAGGTGTCGGCCATCAAAAATAATTCTTGCTCTTCCTAACCTAGGTAATTTGTAGATATGGTGAGAAGGGTTGAACCCTAGAGACTAATTCAAATTGATTTTTAATTGTAGAACAATAAATCAAACAATTAAAGAAAACCCGGGGGGGGGGGGGGGGGTGACATGGTTGAACCCTTAGAGGACTTAATTCAAAATTGATTTTTATTGTAGAACAATAAATTCAAACAATTAAAGAAAACCCCGGGGAGGGGGGCGGTTGGGGTGGGGTGTTGTTTATCAAGGAATGTATGTAATCACAATAAGCAAATTAAAGATAACTAAGAGTTGCAATAAAAATGAATGGGGGGGGGGGGGGGGTTGGGGTGGGGTGTTGTTTATCAAGGAATGTATAGTAATCACAAAGCAATTAAAGTAACTAGAGTGCAATAAAAATGAATGATTTAAATCAGTGAGGAAAAGATTCAGTCAAAGGTGATTCTTAGTATGAAATTTTCTAGATTGATCATGGATACTGAGGTTGCTCAATAATTCGAAAGATCGACAGGTTATAATCCTTGAACAAGCATCGTCGAAAAATCTTTTCAAATCATTAGATTAAATAAGACAAGCGCTAAGAATAAATCCTAACTAGCAAATAATCCAAAACAAGCGATAAAATTTAATTTATTAACAGCAACAAAAACTAGAAAGACGTTGTCCTAATTAACAAACTATAAAATTGAGTTTCATTTAAATTAGATTGTAAGTTTTCATAATATAATCCAAAAGCCTGGTTGTAATTAAATTATATTATCTGCTACTTGAATCAATTCAATTAAACAATTGCAAATTTTAATCTCATTGATAGCTATATGCATTCCTATTAAGTTGAACAATGGCCCATATTGAACAAATAATAAGAAGACAAGAGAGATGGAGTTTCTCATCAAGTCCAGAAAATATACAAAGATCAATTGAAATTAAAGAAGAAGATAATATTGCATTAAGATCTCACAATCATTGAGGAATTTCTACTTGAAATCAACCTTTAACTGAAACGAAATATTTAGCCATGCATGGCCATGGAGAAAACACAAAGAAAAGTAAATCCTAAAATCATTATTGTTTTTAAAGATGAGAAAGAGATTATCTTTATTCAATAACTTAAGGATCTATTTATAGCAAGGGAAAGAAATCCTAACTAGGAAAACAAAATCTGAATATCTTTAGAAAATCCTATAATCAAATATTCAAATCTGAGTATCTTTCCTAATCCCCTAAATAGTGGACCAGTTGCTTTAAATGATTTCCTTCTAGCTAGCAAAGCATCTCAATTCCAAACCGCTTTGGATGCGTCTCCCTTTAAGCTTGCCAGAGCTTAACTTGAAAACTTCCAGGAGCATCCTAGAAATTCAACTCCAACTTGGTAAACTTCTTTAGAACTCCAAGAATTGACTTCCAAAGCTCTTTTTCAAATGAATTTAGCATAATCTATGGAAAATATGAAAATCAAATGAAAATTCTCATTTTAAACCAAAAGTATCCATAGATAATATTTAAACAAAGAATATTTTATGCTAAGTTAACTATTTATCAATCTTCTTGTTTCAGGGCAACTAACCCAATTTAACTTAGAGAAGGTTTAAATGTAATTTTGGAGATGAAGGATACCACAATCCTTTGCCTAGAGCATTTTTAAGTTATCTTAAATATGATGCAAAGCTTGTAAATGAATGGAATTGGACTTATCCATGAATTGATTCCATTGAGTGAACACAACATGAATGTCTAGTCTTGTTTTTTTTTTTTTGTCAAATAAAGTAATTGACCAACAAGCTTCCTATAAACAGAAGAATTTAAAAGTGTTTTGCAGTAGAAAAATCAGTAAGTTTAAGATGAGAATCCATAGGTGTATCAATAGGCTTTGAATTTAAGTAACCTGCATCAGAGAGAAGCTCCAAGGTATACTTTCTTTAATAAAGATAGATACCAATAGGAGATCTTTGATTTTCAAGCCTAAGAAAGTATCGAAGATTACTGAGATCTTTGATTTTGAAAAGATTATCAAGATGAGACTTGATTTTGGCAATTTCATTGAGATCATCTCTTACTAATATGATGTCATCAACATATATACAAGGAGAACCGTAAAAGAAGTAGTAGTTAGAAGACTAAACATAGAACGATCTGTAGAATATAGAGAATAACCAGAATCAATGAGTTCTATGGATAATCTTGTAAATCATTGTCTACTAGCTTGCCTTAAACCATACAATGATTTTTAGTAGTTTGCAAACTTTTCTAGAACCTGAACACTAAATTCCATGAGGTGAAACCATACAAATTTCTTCTGATTAAGGCATCATGAAGGAAGCAATTGCTAACATCTAATTGATGTAAGTGATAGCCTTTTAATTGCAGCAAGAGCCAACAACATTCTAACTGTGGTCATTTTGATAATAGAAGAAAAAATCTCAATAAAATCAATTCCCTCCACATGTGTGTACCCTTTGGCCACAAGCTTGGCCTTATAACTCTCTAGGGAACCATCAGAGTTGTATTTAAACCTATAGACCCATTTATAATATATAGAAACCTTCCTTGATGGTAAATCCATAATAGTACAAATGCTATTTTGTTTTAATGCCAATAACTCAACATCACTAGTCATAACCCGTCCATAAAGGATCTTTAGATGCTTGAGTATATGTCGTAGGTACAATAAAAAAAGAAATGATTAAAGAAAAATGCAATTGAGGTAAAGAGAGAGAAGTATATGAAAGAAAATCAGAAATATGATACTTAATTGAAGGATTAATTGCAACTTTGGTGATTAGAAGGTTGCAGTGATAATCTTGCAAATAAAAAGATTGTTTGTTGGTTCTATTAGATTTTCTAAGTGCATGTGAAATTGATTTTGCAAAAATAGAAGGTAAGGCTGAAGAATCAATTTGAATGGACAAAGAATCTGAATGAGAAAGAGGTGGAATTAAAACAAAAGTAGGTAGTGAAGGTGAGAATGTGTCTATGTAATCTTAAGAAGAACTATTTAGATGAGGCATAAAAATAGAAATATTGATTTTAGGTTAAGGAAAATGTGATACGGAACCCTATGAAAATTAATTCCAAGAATTCTATGACAAGATTGGAATAGCTTCAAAGATCAAACTAAACTCCTCCTCGATGACACCCAAAACTTAAGGAAGCAAGAACACAAATAAAAGAGTAAAGAAGAATAAGATAAACGCCACAACAAGTTGATAAGTTTACCTTGATTCTTGATGCAACCCTACCAAACCCCCAAACAATAAGGATTGAGAACATGGATTATAGGGCAGACTTAAACAAGAAAGAAAATAAAAGAGTAAAAGAAGAATAAGATAAGACGCAGCACAACAAGTTGATAAGTCTTACCTTGATTCTTGATTCCCAAACCCTACCAAAACCCCCTAATCAATAAGGATTCTGAGGAAAACATGGATGTAATTAGGGCAGGGACTATAAACAAGAAAAGAAAAAACGCCAAAGATGAAACTTGATAAGTAAAATCCATTTTCCTTGGACAAGAAAATTGATAAGTTTACCTTGATTCTTGATGCAACCCTACCAAACCCCCAAACAATAAGGATTGAGAACATGGATTATAGGGCAGACTTAAACAAGAAAGAAAACGCCATAAGATGAAATCTTGATAAGTAATCCATTTTTGTTGCAAAAATTGAAGGAGACAAGCTCCTCAATCAAAGGAAGGCAAAACAACTACCAATTTTGATAAAATCCAACTTATCTCATTTTACATCTTAAGGAGGCTATTTATATGCCTCAAACAAACCCAATCTTAAAGAAAAGTATCTAACTAGGCTGCCCTAGCACCCAAACACATGGGCTTAACTAAAACACAGAAATAAAGTCATTTCCAGTCCCAAAATAAATAAGTTAGTTTAGGCCCAATTACATGCATAATAAAATCAGCCCAAAACAACTTAAATAAGGCCATGTAATTTAATAGGGCTTTTACAAAAGCCTAAAATTAACGTCTTGTGATTGGCCTACTATGAAGCACCAATGGATTTCCCAAGTTGTTACCCATGCTCCCTTGAGTTCCATGGTTGAGCAATGGCTGATCCATATCATTTCCCATTTTCTCGAAAAGATTTATCCTCAAATCTTTGTTAAAAGTTGAAGTACCTTTTTGAATGCTAGAAACCGACTACTTTTCCTTGGAATCCATGCCTTTTTGTCCTCAAATCGAGGCTCAACTTGGTAAAAGCTCACTTGAGCTCATTTGTTAAGCTTATCGAGCTGTGTTCGAGTTAAACTATTGATCTCATTTAATAAATGAGTCAAACTTGAGCTCGGGTTATTAGTTCTCAAGTCAGTTTTATTGAGCTGAGTTCTCAAGCCAGCTTATGAACTAGCTTTATGGAAGAGTCCAGTTCACGGGTTATCTTAATAAATCAAAATCAATTAAATTTTCCTTTAAAATGATACTATTTTGATTTAATAGACTTTGAATTCGAATTTGAGCTAGGACGGCTCGAGCTCATCCAAGCTGGACTCGTTTAGGCTTATTAAGGACATTTTAAAACGTTACCACGTCGCAAGGTTAAAAGTGGAAATATTAGAGGTATTTTTCTTTTGCATTAGGCGATATACATACGGGCACAGAGACCAAGATGACCCAAGTAGGACACACACAGTTAATCAGATTCCGCTTAACCTGTATCGATACATATATTTTTATATAATGTAGATAATAAATGTATACTTGTAATAGATCAAATTTTATTTTTATTTTTTTATTTTGACAACTGCACAGTAAAGCTTTTCACTATAAAACTCCTTCCTCGTCTGTCCCTTCAAAAGCTCATTTCTCCTCACTCTCTCTCTCTCTGCCTTTGACCAGTAGTCCAACATACTCTTACTCTACACTCTCTCTCCCCCTCTCGCACACATACTTCTGATTAGCACACACTTCTTTTTCTCTTTCCAATTTCTATATATTACATGCACCTTTTCTCATAACTCAGATCTCTCCTTCAATAGCAATAAACCCACAACTTATGGTCACCCAAAGCCAACTTTTCAATCTTTTTTGAGTCAACCAATTTGTTCAACCGAGCTTTAATTCATTTTCTTATCCATTGAGATAGATAGATAGATAGAGGGATACAGAGAAAAAAAAAAAAAAAAAAGGCTAGAATCAGATCAGACAGATAGATAGAGGGATACAGAGAAAACAAAACAAAAAACACAAGGCTTGGTTCTTGCAACCAGATCATTGGCAGCAGCAGAGCATTTCCAGAGACTACATACAACCGTCATTCACCAGCAAGCAGAGAAGCAAGAAAAGAACAAAGTTTCACCAATTTATCAGCTTTTCTCATTTTGCTGCATAAAAAAAAAAAAAAAAAAAAGGCTTGGTTCTTGAACCAGATATGGCAGCAGCAGAGATTTCAGAGACTAATAAACCGTCATTACCAGAAGCAGAGAAGAAGAAAGAACAAAGTTTACCATTTTATCAGCTTTTCTCATTTGCTGATAAGTATGATTGGTTGCTCATGATCTCTGGTAGTATTGGAGCTATTATTCATGGTTCTTCAATGCCAGTCTTTTTCTTATTATTTGGTGAGATGGTTAATGGATTTGGCAAAAACCAATCTGATTTACCAAAAATGACCGATGAAGTCTCTAAGGTTTGTTTAAAAAATCCAATCTTTATAGATATTAGATATTAATGTTAGATCTGTTAGATCTTTCTCATTTTACTTACTTTTACTTTTCTACGTTTTTCTTGATTATTACAGTATGCACTATATTTCGTGTATCTTGGTCTTGTTGTGTGCCTATCATCATATGCAGGTATGGCTTTTTTTAACTTCTTCTTCATTCTTTCTTTCCTTTTCTCGTTTCTGTTTTTGTTGTTTTATGAAATGTATAGATCACAGAGTCGCACTTGGTTGGTGCAATGGCCGAATAACAGAACAAAATGCTCGTGCACCCTGTTCACATCGGACCGGAGGCTGCAAAAGCTTAGCCCACGTGGTCCATGAACTGCCCTATCGTCCTTTTCCTCTTATCTCACTTGTCAATTTCACTGCTTTCGTGTTTTTCTTTTCTTTTTCTTTTTCTTTTTTCTCTTCCAATCTCTAGTCTTAGATATTATCCGTAGCACCTATCAATCTTTATTATTAATTAATTAAGTTCATACATAATCTATTATATTTCAATTTCATTGTAATTGAATTAAATTAAATTATGGTGGGTTGTTTATAATTTTAACTTTTTTTTACCAGAGATTGGCTGCTGGATGTACACCGGTGAAAGGCAAGTAGGAACTCTGAGGAAGAAGTATTTAGAGGCAGTGTTAAAACAAGATGTTGGGTTCTTTGATACAGACGCAAGAACTGGTGATATTGTGTTTAGTGTATCAACAGACACTCTCCTTGTCCAAGATGCCATTAGTGAGAAGGTTGTTTCGATTTCCTTTTCAATTCTCTTTCTCCTGTTTCATTATATTCTTCAATCTTCATGGTGGTTCTAATTCTACTAGACTATATATACACATACACTCAGTAGTAAGTGCAAAATCAAGAAGCCATTTATGAACCCCATGGCTTCTTCTTGATTTTGCGGTGCGTGTTTGTGGGGTAAAATCTAGAGTTGCGTTGGAGATAAATTTGAAAAAATCGATAAAAAAAAAAAAAAGCTCACATTGAATTGAATTAATGCGGGGCCCATATTCAATTTTTCTGTTTGACTGGCGCACGTTAGCAAGTGTGACTTAACGTGCGCCCACTCCCTATTTTGGACTTTTGTGATCAATCTGGTTCTTGAAGTAAATCCATTGGCTAATTAATGGTCTTTGGTACGAAAATCTCTTGTGGTTCAACACTATGATTAATGACAGTCTCGATTTTTCTAATTAATTTTATTTGTGAATTTCAGGTGGGAAACTTTATACATTATCTGTCAACATTTCTTGCTGGGCTAGTCGTTGGTTTTGTATCGGCATGGAGGCTAGCATTGCTAAGTGTGGCAGTGATACCGGGAATAGCTTTCGCCGGCGGCTTATATGCATATACTCTTACTGGTCTCACATCCAAGAGCCGGGAATCCTATGCACAAGCCGGCATAATTGCCGAGCAGGTGAGGTTTAATGTTGAGCACTTTTGTTTTGTAGGAAAAGGAAAAAAAGAGAAAAGAAAAGCAAGTTCAATTTGGTAACGTTGATTGTGTTGGTGATATGCTCTTCGTTTTGTGTAGTATACGTTCCTTATTATATTTTTGTCTTGATCCAATCTTTGGACCAATGACAAAGAAAAACAGCTGTCTTGATATCATGTTAGTTTGTGTATTTTGTTAAGCATTGGAAAGAAAGCTGCAAGCCATCCTCTGGTTGGAAGTGGCAGTTTGTGTATCATATGATGATTTTGCATGTGCAACTTTCAAAATGGTCATTGGCTTTTTCTCCTATACTTTACTATTTCTTTTTCTTTTTGGAATATTGAAGTCCTCATGTAAGCTTTAATTCAAATTTGGCTTTTAGGCCACAAATGGGCTGCCTAATTGTTGCATATTAAATTCTGCAATAGTGTAAAAGTTATGAACTTTACTAGTTTTGAGTTTTATGTATTATCTATTTTTCTTGAATAGGCCATTGCGCAAGTTCGGACAGTTTACTCTTATGTTGGGGAGAGTAAAGCCTTAAATTCATATTCAGATGCAATACAGAATACTTTAAAGCTTGGATATAAGGCTGGAATGGCCAAAGGTTTGGGGTTGGGATGTACCTATGGAATAGCTTGCATGTCATGGGCCCTTGTGTTCTGGTATGCTGGTGTTTTTATCAGGAATGGAGTGACTGATGGAGGGAAGGCATTCACCGCAATTTTCTCTGCCATTGTTGGTGGCATGTAAATATCAAACTACTGAAAAGCCATAAATTAGAATTTCTTTTTTAAGTTAAGTTAAGAATTTGAATTTGTTAATAATATAAACAATATCGACTTCTGCAGGAGTTTAGGTCAGTCATTTTCAAATCTTGGAGCATTTAGTAAAGGTAAAGCTGCTGGATACAAGTTGATGGAAGTTATCAAACAAAAGCCCACCATAGTTCAAGACCCCTCAGATGGGAAGTGCTTGCCTGAGGTTAATGGGAACATAGAATTCAAGAATGTAACTTTCAGCTACCCATCAAGGCCGGATGTTATTATATTCCGCGATTTTTCAATTTTCTTTCCTGCTGGAAAGACTGTTGCTGTTGTTGGTGGTAGTGGTTCAGGGAAAAGTACTGTTGTCTCTTTGATAGAGAGGTTTTACGATCCTAATCAGGGTAATTAAGAAACTTATCTGAAAATGAATTGAAATTTCATGAACATTGATGGACAGGCGTGCTGACATTTTCCTATTGGGTGAGCAGGACAAGTTTTACTTGATAATGTGGACATAAAAACACTGCAACTCAGGTGGTTACGCGATCAGATTGGCTTGGTGAACCAAGAGCCTGCTCTGTTTGCAACCACAATACTTGAGAACATACTTTATGGAAAGCCTGATGCAACAATGGACGAAGTGGAAGCTGCTACTTCTGCGGCAAACGCTCATAGCTTCATTACCTTACTTCCTAATGGATATAACACTCAGGTTGGTCTATGTTTAGCAAAATAAGTGCAAATTTCATTTCATTACTATATGTTGTGTCAATGTTCACGTAAGGTTTATCTTCACTACAATAATTCTGCCTATTCATATTTTGGACTATAACTCAATTGTACCTATCTCTGTATCTTGATGTTATGAGCACTTTGATTCTGCTTCAGGTGGGAGAGCGAGGAGTGCAACTCTCAGGTGGTCAAAAACAGAGAATTGCAATTGCTAGAGCCATGTTAAAGAACCCAAAGATCCTTCTTCTTGATGAAGCTACCAGTGCCCTTGATGCGGGCTCTGAAAGCATTGTTCAAGAAGCTTTAGACCGTCTCATGGTTGGAAGAACAACTGTAGTAGTTGCACATCGACTCTCTACCATTAGAAATGTTGATACAATTGCAGTTATTCAACAAGGGCAAGTTGTTGAGACAGGAACCCATGAAGAACTCATTGCCAAAGGAGGAGCATACTCCTCATTAATCCGATTCCAAGAAATGGTGAGAAATAGAGACTTCACAAACCCATCTACTCGTCGGTCACGCTCATCACGTCTAAGTCATTCACTTTCCACTAAGTCTCTAAGCCTCCGCTCTGGCAGTTTACGGAACTTGAGCTATTCATATAGTACTGGAGCTGATGGTCGCATAGAGATGATATCAAATGCTGAAACTGACCGTAAAAATCCGGCACCTCATGGCTATTTCTGCAGACTGCTTAAGCTAAATGCACCCGAATGGCCATATTCTATAATGGGTGCTGCAGGATCCATACTTTCTGGTTTCATCGGTCCGACCTTTGCAATAGTAATGAGCAACATGATTGAGGTTTTCTACTATAGAAATCCTGCCTCCATGGAAAGGAAGACAAAGGAGTATGTTTTTATTTACATTGGTGCTGGTCTTTATGCGGTGATTGCATACTTAATTCAGCATTATTTCTTTAGTATTATGGGAGAGAACCTCACTACAAGAGTGAGAAGAATGATGCTTGCAGGTAAAATTAACTATTTTGTGAAATTCTATTGCGTTTGTTGTGCTGTTGATCTGGAAAGAATTTTCCTGACTATTTGACTCTCATTCTTTAGCAATTCTGAGGAATGAAGTAGGATGGTTCGACGAAGAAGAGCATAACTCGAGCCTCGTAGCAGCTCGATTGGCTACGGATGCAGCTGATGTAAAATCTGCAATAGCTGAGAGAATTTCAGTGATATTACAAAACATGACTTCTCTCCTCACTTCCTTCATAGTTGCTTTCATAGTGGAATGGAGGGTCTCCCTTCTCATTTTGGCTACCTTCCCTCTTCTTGTCCTAGCCAATTTTGCCCAGGTAAATACGAGAGTTCTTCAATTTTATTTTATTTTATTTTTGTTTCCATTTGTTCTTAAATTTATTATCAGATTTCAACTACAGTCCTGACCATTATTGAGCCAAAGCTCAATATTTCTGCTCGTCCTTTCAATATTCAATTTAGTTGAGTTGGTCCAAATCCAAAACCAGAACCTAGCCATAAAGTCATATCCTTTATTTTTTTCAGGTGCAATTAACATTTTCTTGGGTTCAACAAGGGCAAAAGGGTAAATAAAAGAACTCTGTAATTTATTAATGTTTCCTACAACAGTGTCAGATCTTTGCATCTCCTTTTTGATATCTGGAATCTAAAACTTCACTACGCCTCAGCATTAAACGACAAAAGATAAGAAATTAAAACGTGTCACTCCTTATCAGCCTGCACATGCTACCTCCAACTCCTCAAAAAACCCGAATAAAAAATATATACATATATGTATATATGTTAATAATATATGTCTTATGTAGCTCCTAAATAACAATAAACAATTATAATATACAAGATTCCATGCCTAAACCCATCAATTTCAAAGTCACTGAGAAAAGTTTTCTTGTTCTAGCTTAACTTCTCGAGGCCATGACTTCTTGTGAGTTATGAGTTATTACCTCTTTTTCTTGAATCTTTTCTCAGTCAAATCTTCTTTCTTTCTCTGGATTTGCATTTTTTTTTATTTCGTGGATTTTTTTTTTTGGTTAATCAGGCACCGACACTGAACCCTGCAGTGTGTATGTATCAGTTCTAGGAAGATGAGCTTTCAGCGCTTTTGTTTACCACTGTATAATACTATTGTGTAGATTGATACCACCTAGCGAGTGTTTCAAGGGATTCTTGGCCCGTGAGGCAAATTATTTATGACACATTTCTTGGCAGATATTATCTTCTTCTTCTGCTTTTTTTTTTTTTTTAGGAAGATGAGCTTTCCAGCGCTTTTTGTTTACCACTGTATAATACTAATTGTGTGATTGAATACACCTAGCGAGGTTTCAAGGGATTCTTGGCCCGTGAGGCAACATTATTTATGACACATTTCCTGCAGATATTATCCTTCTTCTTCTGCTTTTTTTTTTTTTTTTTTTTTTTTTTTTTTTAAAAAAAAAAAGGAAATACCTGGTCATACTGTGTTTTTTCTTGGGGAAGTGTCCGGTGGGTTGACAGAGTCAAACAGTATCATGACAGTGTATGAGTGAGGCCCATTTTCTGGATAAATTGTCGTTTTGGGCTGTGGACATTGTCGTTTTGGTTTTAAATCTTGAATTCAAAAGAGGGGGGGGGGGGTGATTTTGCAGAAATTTTGTTAGTTTTCGAACTCTGTAGGTACATTAATCCACTAGTGACAGTTGTTCTCTGTCTTTGCATCTATATTTGCGCATGTTGTGTCCACAGTGTATGAATTGATTGCTTGAGGATGTACCACCTGAAATTATTCAGTGGTCGTAATCCTAGGTGTGTCTTATATGGTATTTTATAGCCTGTCTTGGCTCTATTCCTAGGGGGTATTGCAAGTCTTCACTTTGTTGAGTGTAAAAACCATGTTCAAGCTACCAACTGTTATTGGTCCAGTAGGCGAGAGTTTGTTTTATATTACAGAAGTTCAGTCATTCAAATTCTAATTTACTCAGAAGAAAAGAAAAGAAAAAAGGTTCTCACTCAAGGACTTTAAGGCCCTCTTTACCTTAATAATAAAACAGAACAAGAATCAAAATTCTAGATTAAATAACAAAGAATCAAACATTCTAGATTAACAACTTCATTTGTATGCTTTGTTTGAATGACTAGGAAATTGATGTCTCAGTGAAATCAACTAGAACCAAATTCTAAATTAAAATTAAATTTAAAATTAAATTCTTTGATGCATTACATTATTTGGCAAATTCATAGTTGCGATCTGATGAAAGTTGTTTCTGTTATTTTCTTGATTCTATAGCAACTCTCTCTTAAAGGGTTTGCTGGAGACACAGCCAAGGCTCATGCAAAGACTAGCATGATAGCTGGTGAAGGAGTGAGCAATATCCGAACTGTTGCAGCTTTTAATGCCCAAGATAAAATCCTCTCTCTATTCTGCCATGAACTCCGTGTCCCACAGCTCCGTAGCCTACGCAAGAGCCAAACCTCTGGCCTTCTCTTTGGCCTCTCTCAGCTTGCTCTCTATGCCTCTGAGGCTCTCATCCTTTGGTACGGTGCTCATCTTGTGAGCAAAGGTGCCTCCACATTTTCAAAGGTTATTAAGGTCTTTGTAGTCCTGGTGATCACAGCTAATTCAGTTGCAGAAACTGTTAGTCTTGCTCCAGAGATCATCAGGGGCGGTGAAGCTGTTGGTTCTGTGTTTTCCATTTTAGACCGTTCTACTCGAATTGACCCGGATGATCCTGAGGCTGAGCCTGTAGAATCAGTACGTGGAGAGATTGAGCTTAGACATGTTGATTTTGCATACCCTTCAAGACCTGATGTTCCAGTGTTTAAAGACCTTAACCTTAGAATCCGAGCTGGTCAAAGCCAAGCCCTTGTTGGAGCTAGTGGGTGTGGAAAGAGTTCTGTTATTGCATTAATTGAGCGATTTTATGATCCGTCTGCCGGAAAGGTTATGATTGATGGGAAGGATATACGGCGATTGAATTTGAAGTCTTTAAGGCTTAAAATTGGATTAGTACAACAAGAGCCAGCACTTTTTGCAGCAAACATTCTCGATAACATTGCATATGGAAAAGATGGTGCAACTGAAGCCGAAGTAATCGAAGCTGCTCGTGCAGCTAATGTACATGGCTTTGTAAGCGCATTGCCAGACGGATACAAAACTCCAGTTGGTGAGAGAGGTGTTCAGCTCTCTGGAGGACAAAAACAAAGAATTGCAATAGCAAGAGCTGTTCTTAAGGACCCAGCAATACTTTTACTAGATGAAGCTACCAGTGCACTTGATGCGGAATCTGAATGTGTGCTACAAGAAGCGCTCGAGAGGCTAATGAGAGGTCGAACCACGGTGCTGGTAGCGCACCGGTTATCGACCATTAGAGGGGTGGACAGTATCGGAGTTGTTCAAGATGGGCGGATTGTAGAGCAAGGCAGCCATGCCGAATTAATTAGCCGAGCCGACGGAGCATACTCTAGACTCTTGCAGCTACAACACCATCACATATGAGAAGTTTTGATGAAAGCAACATGGCCTTGTTGGTTGGTAATTATGTTGGGGTCCCCATTAACCTTTTATGTTTCCATTTTTTTTTTTTTCTTCTTCTATTTTTGAATGATGATGACAGTTGTAGATATGGGAATGTGGAGACTGTATCTTGAGAACTATCATCACCCCATTTCCAATGGGGGGATGGCAAGCAAGTTTTATATTATTAAATATCTAATGGTTCATAAGCCTTTCTTGTCCATCTGGTTGGTTGATGATTTGTTTAACTTTTATTCTCCTATCCTTTTTGTAAGTCATATACTTTATAGTACCAAAAAAGCAAAAGCCCAGAAGCCATCTTTTGCAGTTCTCCGTAGCAACTTTTTTTTTTTTTTTTGGGTCTTTGCTGTTGCTTTCCACATTGCATGTGAATGCTAGAGTGTTGTTTTCAGCTCAAGATAAGAGCAACCCATCTTCTTTCTTTTTCTTTGTATTCTAATTTCCTCTGTTTTAAGGCCCACATGATGAATCACAGGGCACTCCTGCACCAATAATAAAAATCTAGCTCATCTTTATAAGCATAGGTTGATATAATTATTGGATGAGTTAGAGTTGACATAACTAAAATATAACAAATTTTCTAAGAAATATTATTGATTTTCTTTTACATCTTACTTTAATAATGATATTAAATTTTCTTTTCGATTATTAAGAGGAGAGATTCAAATCTATATCTACTGTTAGATCGTATATGCACTTATTGTTAGAGTGTATCTCAGTGAATTTTACTTGTAAATTAGGAGGATCAAACTGATTTGAGGCAAATGGTATGAATTATTGAAAAGCAAAGATGCAGCTGAAAAATTTTTATTAGATGTAAAGCTTAAGCATGTGTTTCAAAAGTGAAGATCAATGGTGGTCCATTTAGAGGGACCCGACAGAAAGTTCGTGAGTGCTTCAATAGTTACTATTAGACTTCCATTTTCGTCTAATCACATCCTCCTTTATTTGCTATCAGATTGTTTATAATTATGTTCTCTAAAAGGATGCTATACTAATGTACTTCATCTGTCACAAAAGAGTAACCAATAAAAGGTATAATTATGTTTTGCCCTTCTCAAAAATTTACAAAATTTCACCTAAAATAATTATATTTTTCAATTTCACCCCTCCTAGCTTCTTTGAAAATAATTATATTCCTGGCTCCGCCATTGCTAAACATGTCTAATCCGGTGTAACTGTAAAAAAATGAAGAGCAGAAAAGTGGAAAAGGGAGGAATGGATGAGATGGGGATCCATTAATTTGGTGATAAGGTGAAAAATTGGTGCCCTAAAAAAAAAATGTTGAAATTGAAAGGAAAGACAGAGTGGCAGAGGTAAAGGCATAATTTATGTCAGTCTTCACTCTGTGCTTCTGCAATTTTGTGTAGATGTTAGGTGGTGCTTCTGCTGAATGTTGGACAATAATATAACTTCAATTTATGCCAGGTGGTTCCTTCCACCCCATGCTTTTCTTTTTTTTCCTTTTTTCCTTTAGCTGGTATGCTGGGAATCCAATATTTGACATTTAACTTTCAATTACCCGATCGGTGAAAATTAACGTTATAAAATAATATAAATAGTTACGGCAATCTAACAGTTAATAAAACAATTAATATTGTCAGATACACCCTTAATTGTTAGCGTTTGATAATGAACTACTAGTAGCTAGTAATTAGCTGTAAGACAGCAACTGTCCATATTTAGTTGCTACCATTGATCTAAATAATATTTTCAGTTTCCAATAACTGCCTGCAATTATTGAAAAAAAAAATATTTATATCCAAAAATATGTGTGTATAGAATATGATAGAGGTGTAAATTAAAAGATCTAAATTGGAAATTGGAAGAGACATATCACATGATGGCTGTGATAATGGATTGGAATTTACTGGTTAGATTGAGGAGGGGTCCTCTCTTCAGACTTAGCAGTGTCTTCTTCTTGTTTTTTGGAGAGTAAATTAGTGTATAAATGTTGACTGTTAGTCATAAGAGGGTCTTAGTCTGAAAGCTCCAACCCATTTTTTCAGATGGTACAATATTGGACTTATTGTATTTTTTTCCTTTCTATATGGTATGTGATAGTACTAATTCTGAATTCAACCACAGCAAATAATGTCTGTTTCAGTTGCACGCCTGAGGCCTTTTTAAATTCATCTCTCTGTTAGATTTGCAGATAATTTGAATTTCATTTGTCACGCTTTTAATTTAATCCCAATAAGTATTTTATACGAATTTTAGATGAATTACAATTCTTTTAAAATAAATGGTTTACAAACATTGTATATTATAGATATTGATTCTTTTTGGTTTGTATACGCACTTTTGCAGTCCGATCAGACTGAAAGTGAAATTCAGATAAAACTCTCTAATTGTGGCGGGGGTTCTAAATTTCAAATCTCTAACTTTGTAGATAAAATTCGTTTGAAAATACAGTTCATTTTCACATATCCAACTCCTTGTTGGTATAAATATTGATTTGTTATAATAAAGTTCAAGTTGTTTGTTTGTCTTGAAAAATAAATTTACCTACTGAAGAAAAATCAACAAAGAAAAGCAGCAAGCTCTAAAGTTTTAGGGTATTGACTATTCCCATTATGATTATTATTGATAGCAGTTTTGAAACCAATATAAAATATATTTTTATATTTAATTTTTGTGAATTCATAATTAGCTTTTAAGTACATAAAATCAAATTGAGGACTTAGCTCAAATAATTCCTTAACAATAAAGCTCTTACCAATGAATGTTAAGACAAGTGATTTGACATTCTTTTTCCTTAATGGACGACCGGTGCAAGCAGTATGTAGTTCTTATCTAATAGGCTAGAAATACCTGTGATTAAAAAATAAAAATAATGTTAAAAATATCATGAAATGCTGCAAGTAATAGAGTTACAAAGAATAATAAAATCTTCTTATATTTTCAATATGAAATTGTAACAATTTATGAAATTGTAACAATTTATGAAATTGTTTGACTTAAAATCTCCTTTTCTCTTTTTTTTTTTTCTTTTAACACTAAACTAGTTGTTCTAATGTATATTACTAAATCCTATGTTATTTAATTTCATTTACTAATAAATATCACATTTATTTGATTTAAAATCTCGAATTAGTTAGTGGAATCATGAAAAATAAAGCTTTTTAATGTGTAATTTGCATTAATCTAATTTTTGTGCTTAATATTTATTTAGTTTTTTAACTAGAAGTTTGATATTATATATGGTTTACTTAATCTTTATTTATTATATAATATCTTATTAAGTAACTCAAGACGTATTAATATTTTATACTTTTAATTTATAGTTTAATTAATCTTAATTTTTATCCCAAATTCATGTATTTTTTTTTTAAAGTAACACATATAATATATTTAGATAAAAAATATTCATTTGATTTTTATTTAATTATATATAAGTAATCTTTGAATTAGTTAAATTTTAATGTTAACTGAAATTAATCCAATATGTTCTAGATTCTTTTCAATAATGTTTATATTATTTACTTATAGAAAATTGTTAAATAAATTTATTTAATTTTGAATTTTATGAACTTAATTTCGAAATTATATTATATTATGTAAAAGTCCATATATTATAAATTTAAAAGTATAAGATTTAGAGATTAGAATCTATTCTTTTCAATACATTTTGTAAATTTTAAAATTTTGAGTCATTTATGTAATTACCCTAAAGTTTAAAGTAAAATTTTTTTATTCCTTAAAATTTTCATCTTTGTGCAATTCATTCTCTTACCATAACATGATATTACAACTAATATGTATATATAATCAAGAAAAGAAAAATAAGGAATCAGTAATCATAACTTGCTAGAAAGTATATATATAGTGTAATAATATAAGAGTTCTATACCAAGAAAATTCTATATTATAGTAAAAGCCTCTTGGAAAACACAAGAGTTAGCGACCTATAGATTAGACTTTGGAGTGAATAGTAATTCGGTCTGAGATTATCTCATTCATGACATTTTATGAATCTTACTATAGGAAGTAGCAAAGAAAAGTGCATATAAATATAAATGATATATCAATTGGAAAATTTTGGATTTTAGAAAAAAGACTTTAATCGTTAGGTAAGATACATTTTTCTTTATATTTTTCTATTATAATTTGGGTTTTGGGACCATAATTAAAATTGATTTTTTTTTTTTTTTTTTTTTTTTTATAAATATAAATGATATATCAATTTTTGGAAAATTTTTTGGATTTTTTTAGAAAAAAGACTTTAATCGTTAGGTAAGATACATTTTTCTTTATATTTTGTCTATTTATAATTTTGGGTTTTGGGACCATAAATTAAAATGATTTTTTTTTTTTTTTTTTTTTTTTTTTTTTTTTTTTTTTTTTTACGAATCCTCTACTCTCTCCATCCCATATATATATATATATCTAGTTTGAATTTCACATAGATTAAGAAAGACTAATTAATATAGTCAAACTATATTTTTTATTTAGTTTTTTTCGAAAATATCCTTTTATAATATTAAATGATATTAAAAATTAAAAAATAAATGATCTTTTAAAAAGTAAATTAGAACTATATTTTAGGATAGATAAAAAAAAAAAAGTGAACCTATATATATAAGAAGTAATTTCATTTGATACGAATCATTCTAAAATGTAAAATTTTTATAAATAAATTTTTATATTAGTTTCTTCACTTTTTTTCTTATAGACGATTATCTAAAATAAAAATACTCTCCTAATAGTTTTCTTTTTTCTTATTATAGAAAATAATATGTGATATTTTTCTTTTATAATACTGTTAGAAATAATTAGATTATGGCAATAAATGTGAAAAAAATTTATACAATGATAAAATTAATAAATATTTAATTGATCTAATAGTTTATGTGAAATCTGATATTTCTTTTAATATTCTCTTAAATATATTTATGTGACAATTTATTTATGTTGACATTATATATATATTATATATATTATATTATATATATGTTTATTAGTTGATTGGATATGATTTTATAAAAAATTATTTTTTAATAAATATATATAGATAATTAAAGCATTCAAATTTATGTTGTATTTTTTTGAATTTATTTTTAATTAATAATATTATGATAATGAGGGGATTTGAAATTTTATATTTTATTTTTTTAATTTATTATTTATTTTAATCTTATTTGATTATAATTTAAAGTATTTTATTTAGGAGCGGATGATAAAAATAAAAAAAATATTTTT